CTGTTAGTGATGAATCTCCCGTGGATTTGTAGAAAATAAACTTTTGTGCGCCAAATACGAGTCTCATGCAATCACCACAATAGGCTATCCGTAACTGGACCTTTTCATTTTTTTTATTTCCATTCGTCTGTGTGTCTGCAGGGTCGGACCTATATTTTAGACATACCAAGGCTGATTACATTCAATCTTCACATATACATCATACTAATATTCTACATGTGCACAATTTGTTTTATTATCTGATTCAAGATGGCCAAATGACGGTCATTTTTGGACTGAATATAACCCAAATCAAGCATTTCGCGGCTGTTTATGGATGGCTTTTGTTCAAACATGGTACATATATTGTACATTATTGGTCTTTGATGTACATCACTTTGTTTTTCAGATCGGATTCAAAATGGTTAACTGGTGGCCATTTTGTTTTATAAATGCGGTTTTGGGGCCATATCTCTGATATGCTTTGACTGATGTTCAAATTTTATATATTCATTATACATCATGTTATAGATATACAGATATATTGGTTTGGCGATTTTATTCAAAATGGCCGACCAGTGGCCATTTTGTTTTAATGAATGATGTTCCAGGGCTTGGATTCTGATGAGCTGCACTTGAAATACAGATTCATTTGAGGTTTCCCATTCAACTTCTTGCTTTGAGATGTTATAGTGGCAAATTTGTTCAATCTACCAAGGAGATTTATTTTAGCCCCTAAAAAAGTTTTGGTTGTCCTAGAGAAAATTTGAAAATGTAGTTTATTTAATACCACCATAACAACAAAATTAATGGTCAATATGGAATAATCATTAAATAATGCTTTCAAATTGCACGCATTAAAAGTTTATTTGGATCAACAAAACATCGTCTGAAACAGGAAAACATTTTACTGAATGTTGCGTGACAAGCAGTTTTCCAACAATGACAAGGAGCAGAACCTGTCTTTTTTTTTTGCCCTAATGTTTGATGAGTGTAATAATGGGCATAGCAAGCACCATTTGCCTATTTGTTGAAATATACATACTGCTAATAATTGTAACAATGCTAAGATAACTGAATGCTGCAGAGATTTACAACAACAAAACATTTGCTTCAATTATTAAATAGTTGCAATCGATTTAGTTGAATTTGTTTGTTCGATAGGTTTTTGTTGCTAAACTGATCTTCTGTATAAAAATAAAATATTCTGTTTAGCAGCCAGGACTCTATATAATGCGAATATTTGGCAACTCGTGTTTGGACACCAAAATAAAACCCCCCAACCCCTTTGACCCCAACCCCTAAGCTGCATTTTTACAGATTAAATTTGGATGAGGATAATTAAATTTTGGAGATTTGTAGGCCAATAAAATGATACAGGTTGGCAGGTCAATCGTGATTGTCATGTGAACCGCATCACATCTATTTATAGAGCTTGCATGCAAAAGTTTGATATTGCCCCTGTGAATATTTGATAAATTACTTGTCCATTATTATGGCTTTTGTGTAACAACAAATAATTGGATCGTTGCGTTTCAAATAAGTCATTTATGACACTTATGACAACATTTGCACCCTTGCAATGTATGTAAATAAGATTGTTGATTTGGGGGGGATATTATGTATTTATCCACTGCATGGGTTCAACACGTGGCCACCACTGTAACTAAACCAGTTTAATTATTTTTAGATGACGTATCCTTATGGGTCAATTCAATATACTACCATTCTATTCCGGAGCCAGATATAATGAAATCTGACACTATTGTGAGTGGAGGTTCAAAGTTCATCATCGTTTGCACGAAGAAAGATTTGGTAGATGATAAACAGGTGATCGAATTTATCTACAATTTTGATGTATATCAATAACACCATAGACATTGTTATATATACTGTTGTACTAACATTTAGTTAGAATCCTACTCAACAAATATATTGTTATTAGATTATTATCGTCGCTTATACATGTATCCACCTTTTTATTAACTTTGAATATTATCGGAATCTGATTATGGCTAAAATGAATTCATATACTGCCATAATTGTGGAAGGGAATCAAACTACTGTTTCTTCCTAGTTACAAACTACACATTTGTTTCTGCTATGAAATTGTAAAGTCTAGTGTTGTACATTTGTTACCAGCAAATTATTCCTTATTGTAATTTCCATTTGCACCTTCATAAATATAACTGTGTATATATATTTGATTTCAGGTGGTGAAACAGAGAATGTCTGAAATAAAAGATCACATACGCAAATGCACACCCAAACCATTCCGTGAGATGTATGCAGGTATGTTTGCTATCACCAACAAAGGGGGTGTGGAGGCAGATGAAGAGGTCCCTAAGCTGAAAAATAAGATCCTAGAGCTCTCTACAGTGTTCAAAGATAAACAACCATGCGCACAAGTACGACTTGAGTTGGCGTTACGGCAGATGAAAAAGCGAGCACTACCCATCTCTGAAGTTTACAGTAAAGGTAAAGAATTGGGTCTAGATGAAGAGACAGTCGACAAAGCCTTGAGGTACTACCACAGCATTCGTGAGATGATACACTTTCATGAAGACGATGTTCTGAAAAATGTTGTCATTATCGATCCACCTTGGTTAATTGACCTGTTGAGAATTGTCGTTACCCAAATGCCAAACTACCGTGAAAGATTTGATCTGTCAGCAGAGTTGGAACTGCATTGCAGCAAACTAGTTGAACAAGGTTTGTTGTATGAAGAAATGGTAGATATTATACTTGTTCAAGAAAACAGGATGGAAGATAAAGATGTCCTACTTCGGATGTATGAAAAATTCAACATCATATGCAGACATTGCACGATGGATTCCGGCAAGGCAGTCTACTATATGCCATGTATGCTGAATGAGGGAACCTTAGATCCACTCAAATCCAAGTATGAAAGCGTGATCCCACTTTATTATCATTTTGGTGACAATTTTCTGCCTGACTCGGTTTTTCATCAACTCGTGGTAAAGTGCCTAAACTCATGGAATGATGCCACATTGTTCCAAAATGCAGCAAGAATTAACATTCCCGAGTTCAGTATGATCTTAGATCTGTGGAAAGAAGGATGTGATATTGGTATGAAAGTTTGTCATACTGGAGAGCATCATCACTCGCTATTGCGGGTAAAGGAGACCATAGGAAATCACCTTCGACAGATCATCAAAAGCCAGTACTCAAGATTATCATACAAAGAATGCATCAAATGTTCCTGTGGGCAACACGATGGAACGAAGACTATGAAATGGTCTCTGGATTTAGATGATGGTTGTGTTGCCACTACTAAGACAGTCTGTTCAAAGACGCATCCAATAGACATGCCTACTCAATGGATCTCCAATGGTAAGTTCAGCACATATTCAGGCGTAATATTCTCCTTGTTATGCACGTTTAGATTAAAAATCACTTTCTTTTCATTTTGATGAGTGCACATCGTTATCTATGTTTTCTACACATATTAACAAGAATATATTTATATGATTAGTTTTACTGCATACAACTTTTGACTCCACTTTGAAAAAAAAATGAATGAGTTGGGGTCATTTAAAATAACATTTAGCAATTGAAAATCAAAATGACAAAGCTGTTCATACCTAAGTGATTGTCCGAGATCTTTAGTTCGTCTGTTTATTCATCAACTATTGCATTAGGGTCCAAACCACAAGGACCAAGTCTCGATTGTCTGGTGTCTAGTGACCAAACACTCTAAGAACTATCCTTTTGTTATTGTTCGTTATTTTTTTTTCTGCAACTTATTTTTTGTCAAGTTGTTAGAGGAAATAGCGGAATTTAGAAACTTTGTATGTTGATATAGAAACTTAGTATTGTTTCTCACTCAGCCAGGTCAAACTACCAGATATCGTTTAACTATAGTTGTGCAATGTCAAATACCATGCACATGCACAATTTCGGTTCATTTTGTCCAGCAGATCAGGCGATTGGTGAAACACAATTTGGACTAATCACTGAATCTAATGAACACAGTTCTGAAGGTAAATCTATATTATATATACTTATTAAACATTTCAAACAAGCTAGACAGTAAAATTGTTCCACAGAATTTGTTCTGAGTTTGGTTCAGAAAAGACCATTGTCAATATTTTGTGTGTGGAACGATAGAAGAACATGTCTTAAGAAGGCAATTATTGGGTCTAATTATGACTATTTTTAGAATTGCAGTTTTGGTATGAGAATAAGTGTTTGACTAAGCTACAGAAAGTCATTCTGATTGGTCAATTACTTTGGTAACCATCTTGGCCCAAAACTGAAAGTGATTTATTTTTTTATCCTTTTTGAGGAGAAGAATGTTTTGACATAAACAGTGTCTTGTGTGCTACAACAACGTGCAATAAGTCTTTAGCACTCCCATGACCTTGAGTACTTTAATCACACCATGTAATGTTGAATGATACATATTGGTGGTCTTGATGTCATTTCTATCTGTTTTTTTTTTACAGCAGCTGCTACTGATTCAATTTCTACACAAGTTTCAGAGATTGGTGAAAAACAATGTGGATCACCCTTCAAACGCTTCAAACTAGATAGTCAGTAAAATTGTTCCATAGAGTTTGTGTGTTTGTTTCAGACAACGATATAATCAATATATTATGTGTAGTATGATAAAAGAACGTGAATATTTCAGTACATTAATGATCCTATTTAAACCCCAGAGAAGGAATTCAGTCAAAATTGGCATTGTCTAATCGAAATATCGTATATTTGGTTTCCAGGTTTCCAACCAGCAATAGGAATTGTTGTGGCAGACGAATACGAATATCAATCAATAAAGCTTATGTTCGATGCGCCACCTGTAGAATATAATGGTAAAACAAATCCAAATGATCCAAACTACTATCAGGTTGGACTCGTCGGAGGAAAGAAGGCTGTAGTGACACAACTTCCTGTTGGGATGGGTGGAGAGGACAGTGCTGCAGTAACTGTCACACATCTCTGTAATGCATTCAGCGCCATACAGTTGATATTCATGGTAGGTGTTGCTGGTGGAGTACCTAATTATCAGTATAACGAAGCCAGTGCAAGGAAAACCACAGAGTATACTCGTCCACATGTTCGCAAAGGTGACGTTATTGTCTCGTACCCAATTAAAGATGGCGGCCCTGCATTTGTACATTATGACTACGGAGAAATAATATCTGTCCTTGCCACATGTAACGTTAGGCAAAACATCCAACGCAAGCAGCACATTGGGCTTCACCCTAAAGCACTGAATGCAGCTCGAGAATTTGCGCGCAATTCTAATGTTTTGGGTGAGCAAATTGGTGCCACAATCAACAAAATGGATGAAGTGCAGAAAGTAGGGTTTCAGAGACCTGCTGATGAGGAGGATGTCTTGCCAGAAGGTCATAACCATCCAGCTGAACCGCATTTACGTCATCCAGGTGAACCCAAAGTTCATTTCGGAATAATGGCCTCTGCAAACAGTGCAATGCGAAATACAGAAGTCAGAGATTATTTAGCTGTGGCTGAAAATGTTATCGGATTTGAGATGGAAAACCGCGGCGTCGCTACTGCTGCTCGCATTTCTTCCAAAGGATGTATGTTTGTCAGGGGTGTGTGTGACTACTCGGATGAACATAAAAATGGCAGATGGAACCGATATGCAGCTCTAGCAGCAGCGACTGTCTCCAAATGCATCATAGAGAAATTAAAAATGTGACATTTGAAATAGCCAAAATAAAATTTAATTGAAGATCAAACATAATTGAATAATATTTGGAAGGCATTTTTCTGTAATTTCATTTCTAACATAAAGGTTATACAATTGTTGATTTGGAAGAAGTGAACACTTGAAGAAAAGTTAAATTTGAGTATTTTTCGATATCATGTTCGTATGATAACTTTCGTTATATGCATGTGCAGCGCCTGTATTACCGACTCAATTTGGAGAGTTGGCAAAACATGATATGTTTTTATAGTAGTTAAAAAATCCTTATTGTCATCAAGCTGGCTTATTAATATGAATTAATAGTTCTACTTGGAATTTAGTATTTTGTTTAGTTTTGTAGTTGTACTTCAAATATAACATTGTTAAGCTGCATTGGTCTATGCTTTTATGCATTGTAAAACTGAAGTTTCAATAGAATAAGAAACTATGGAATATATATTTTTTAAGAAATCAAATGCTTTGTTTTTTTAATGATGCCAAGTTGAATGCTATGATTTTTTTTTGAATATTTGCATAGAATTTTGTGTTTTATATGACTCCTTATTTTTGGATGATTATGAATATATTTCATTGAACGTAATGCCATCAAGTCCAATTCATGATATAGTGTTGAAATATTTTTGGGTATCGGATGTGTCGATGGATAATCAAATAAACAAATGTTACTTCACTTTATGCATATTGGATATGTTCTCGCCTCCTTACCAAAAAGTCTGTAGTTGTAGCAAGACACCACACAATTTTTGGAAAAAGTGGGACAGTACTTGGAAAATAAATGCAGATAATTTGTGACAAAATATGTAGTTTGTTTTTTTTGTTTGGTCCCACTTATGGCATGTTCATTATTCCCTTTTTATATGACACTGTCATGGACGAAAAATATTGATGCAAAAAATAATCATCAGTCATCTTATTACCAAACTGTCATGTTTTCATAATGATATATGTACAGCACAACATTTTCCCTCATGTCACCTACTTATTTATTTTGGTCATAAACACTTTATTAGCTCCCTTTCAAACTAAGCTCGAAACGGGGACTTCGCGGATTTCAGATTACAAATCCATGACAATTTGTTTTCCAATCAGTTCAAAGATGGCCGTCTGGTGGCCATCTTGTTTTTTGATCATACCGCTATGTCTCATAGGCTATTGGACCATTTTCATTCACATACATTGTACATTTCAGATTACAAGTCAATGTCAGTTTTTTTCATAATCTGATCAAAGATGGCCGACTGGCATCTATCTTGGTTTTTGGTAAATGTGGTATTTTTGACGTAATCTGTTGGTTTTCGTTCAAATTTGTAATAAACATTAAACAAAATAAATTAAGGTAGAGATGCAGTTTACCTGACAGGTATTTTAATTAGTTAATTAGGCAACCAAGATGACCTCCCTTATTGTATGAATTTTACATTTTTTTTTGTATTTTTTTGTTATGGACACTGCAGTTTGAAATGTGCACAAAAATGTGTTTTTTTTGGTTAAAAGTGATTTAAAAAAATTTGCTTCTAAACCATGCTTCAGTTTCCTGTCAAAATTGGTTTATGGGTACATCTGTTTACTATGAAGAAAGCGCCGTCTTGAAAACTGTCTACCAGTTGTCAATTTTGCAGGACAGCAGCTCAAATTTCACTACTTCAAGTTTATGCATAAATTAACACCCAGGCTAGTTGTCTGTACGATTGTTGTAACACTGTTCAACCAAAAACAATGCCCTGACGGCGTTTTGACGATAAACACATTTTCAATCATTTGTGAAAATTTCAAAACAAAAGGTCAAAGCGTTGAGGAGCTATTTTTTTTTAAGTTCTGGAATGTGCACTAAAAAGAAGCTGAGATAATTGCTAATTTGCATAACAATTCACTCAGTAAGAAGTTTGCTAATGCTCATAATTAAAATGGCTGTAACAGTTCCAGATTTAAATCTATTACAGTTTTGTTAAAAGTTAAATATAGTGCATAATATTGAGATCCCGTCATTTCTTTTTCTCACCATGTTTCTTTTTTTATTATTTATGTACAGCCTTGCTAAATCTTGCTAAGCATTCAAAAGAGAGAATCTTTAAATGTGTTATCTATATTTTAAATCGTTTTTTGAGTATGTTCCACTATTCACAATTCTACAAAATGTTAACAGTATAGCCAAGACTGTTTGGATAATAAAAAGCCCCCCAAAAAAAATTTCACTCCAAAGTGCCCACGAACCTGCATCTCTACCTTAAGTTTTGGTAAATGTCCATGCATGTTAATTACCTAATTTGCGTAATTAATCAAAGTTTTTATTAAATGTACATTGTCTAAAAATCTAAATAAAAAAAAACAATTTTGGTTGCAAATGAATTGTTTATATGTTGTACAGAATGTGAATTACTAACAAGTGACTAGACATATCGCAATTGAATTAGTTGAATAAATCTAATGTCATGGATGTTTGAGATCCTGTTTAAATACATGGCACGGGTGGGCATTGGACAAATGTTGAGAGGTTTTTTTTTCAACTCGTGGCCATTTAGCACGTAATCATTGGTTTTCATATCAAGATAATTCAGATTCAGTGATCCAATATTTTCTCCGGGTCATTCAGCAAATCACAATATTTCAACTCTACGGAGAACAGAGGATTTTAAAATCGTGATCGTGAACTCGTGAGGTTATTTTGGGGTATTTCAGCAAGATATTTTATGTTTACAACTCTGGGCCATTCAGCAACGAGTTTTCAACTTTGGATCTTTCAGCAAGTTATACCTGGTTTTGAATCTCGATCATTCAGAAAGTACACCAGGCTTTCAACTGAGTGTCGTATATAAAGTAGCCCCATGAATGTAACTCAAATGGTGTAACTCAAACTTTGAGTCATTCAACAAGTGGCTCTAGAATTTGCTATGAGCGACATTAAGTTTTGTTCAGTGATCTGGACTACTATTATGTTTAATTTATCCTTCCATACAAAGTATAATACCATACAATAAATGTTATGTGTATTATGTGTTGCACTGTATACGTATAAAACGTGAAAACTTAATGTAAGGATCCGAGTGCAAGCGAGCCTGCATCTATATCTGATTCAGAACCGACAATACAAGTTCTTCATATAGTGAAATTGGGTAATTTTTAAGTTCAATTATTCTGACCATGATGGATATCATGTCAGATAGGGTTGGACAAATTTGTGCAGTCTAGCGATGTATATTAAAACTGTCCTCAAACACAAATAAACGCATCATGCACAAATTTACACCTTATGAGCCGGATAACGAGGCAGAGGAGAAAAATGACACTTCAAATGATATTTCTATTATTGACTGACTTTATTACAAATGCATGGTCCATTGTAAAGTGAAAGTTGCAAAGCTCAGTAGACAAAGTATTTCAAAGCTAAATAACCAAATAAGTCAAATATAATTCAGTGCAGCATGTATACACACATTAGCAAATACAACACACTACTGAACTTCCTTATTAAAGACGATCAGACAATATCATCTGATTCGCCAGCAAGCAATTTAATAGCTAGTTAGTGTACTATACTTGCCACATTTCCATACTTAGCTGTAGTCGAAATGTACGTGTTATATAGTAAGCCAACATTTAGTAAAGACGAACTTTTTTAAATAGTCGTATTCGTGTTAATACTCGTAAAATACAAGAAACCTAGAAATGGTTTGGATAATTATATAGCAAGCTATAAATAAAGCGCCTATCAATCACACTCTTTCCATTCTACGGCTACGTCATCTATATCTACGAGGATGATACGGATTGGTCTTACCATGTGTTTTCTTTACCACTTGCTTGGCAAATTTTTGCAACGAGAATCAGCGAAATAAATCCTTATAATCCGATAGTTAAAGACAGTTCGCCGTCCACAGATCATTAATCGTCGATGCAATACCCAAAACATAGGCACAGTAGATAAAGTCGATCAAATATCAACAACCCGTTAATCCCAACATTCATCTGGCTTGCAAAGTTTTTGGTAAAATTTAATAAATTGGCCTTACTGTTATTTCGTCCTTCTGTTGTCTCCATAACAATTTACACTTGTTGTCTAAAGCTCATGTAATACACTGCCGATCTGCACACAATCCATGCGTTTAAATTTGATAAAATGCTGTCGAAGAGACGAAGGCGACCTCTTCCTTTCTTCCCATGTTTGGGATGCAATTTTATAGATATTTATAAATTTCCCAATTCAACTAGTTTTGATTGAATGAGCCAAAAAAGGGGAATGTCTAGAAATGTCGGAGACAATGTGATCGATTATATATAGAAACGTTTCAAATGACGCCGTTGCACAATGTGCTCGTTGCTGGATGGATTCAACTGCCATTGAAATTTATATAGATGGAATGCTTATAAATAGTATAATATAAAGATAGAAATGTTTTTGTTGCACTGGGAGTGAAACACATTGTTAATGAGCAAAATTAAAACAACGTTTCCAAACTGTTATGGAGAGAACCGAACTGCCCACGGAATAACATATAAACTACCTGACTGAAGATAATTTTCCCAGTCCAAACTCATATACTTATGCATTCGTTCGAGAGTAACACACAATTCGTTTACAAAATGCAGCAATGTAATCCAATGCCAGGCAGTATATTACAACCACAAATGCGCAGAGTCTCGTATAGTAATCCGACATAAACAAGGTACTACTACACCTGTATTGAGAGCAGCATGATCATATACCCTGTGTTAATCAGTGATGACATACGGCTGAACCATGGGGGTGGTCAGGATAGTCAAATCAGTCAACCTCATACGTTGACTCAAAATGGAATCCAAGAAGTTAGATTTCACTTCAACTGCATATAAACATCGGCAGGAACTCACACAACTGCTCAATAATATGCCCGCTGTTATAACTATCAACTCCTGGGACAAATATTGGTATGTCCTGAACATATTTGATGGTTGTGTCTGAATTGACTTTACACACACTGTCTGTATTAACACACGTGTAGCGTTCTTCCGTCTGAGATCTAAATGTACACTGACTGACCAAAGTTCAATAATCTGTCTACACTGAAATGACAACCTGGTCAGTTGAACCCCAATTTCAGAACTCTAACAGTTGTAATATCAGAACTAACGGCATTTCTAGTATTTCCACAGAGAATCTGTCTCTCAAATCAATTAGCAAGTAAAATACAACAATGGATATTTATTAGTCCCCGTTCGGACGAAGTGGGACATATGCACATGCAGTGGTTTAGCGATTCGATTCAAAATGGCTGACTGGCAGCCATCTTGTTTTTTGAAAATGTTGTATTTTGGACATGCTTTGTCAGTTTTCATTCAAACTTGGTACATATATTATGCATGTTAGGATACATGTCCATGACGATTTCTTTCGCAATTGGATCAAGATGGCCGACTGGCCATATTACGACTACACGGAACACCAGTTTTGATGTAAATAAACAATCTGTTTTATACACCACCTGGGACTCAATTTTCAAAGACACGATCGCGAAAACCCCTCCACTTTAATATGACTAGCACCAAGAGAACTTTCAAAAAATTAACGGGGACTCTGTCATTTTCAATGACTTGTTAATTATAATTTAAATTTACCATATACTTTCTCACGGAAAAATAGATTTAAAAATAAGAGCAAGCACATGGAAAGCACATGACAAAATTCGACTGTAGGGATTTAAAATTCGACAGAATTTCAAGGTACTTGTTGCCATTTAATTTAAGTTTTCTTTTGCTTCTTAACCTTTATTTATATTTGTTTCTTTGCATGCATATCACACCATGTACTTTCCGTTCTGCATTTCA